GTAGGATCAGTAGAAGTTCAAATGATGTTGGTGTATCTTTATGGTAGTATAAACTAGTGCTCTCTCGAGAAAATATTTTAAAATCTTGATTTGTAAAGAGTTTGCTTTAATTCACAACATTTCCCGCTGCTAAAGAACCTAAAAGAAAGGTGAAGCTCATGCTTGATATTAAGAAGTCTTTTTTACATAGGGCTGCATCAATCCTCACAATGGTATCGAAAGGAGTTGCTAAAGTACCTACTGTTGGATCTGCATTGGAAATTGCAACCAGCATAACAGCTTCACAACTTGAAAACATGGATTATCAGTCTATTCAAGAAAAATTAACCATCTTTAGTGACTGTGGTAATGTTGTGAATTAAAACAAACTCTTTACAAATCAAGATTTTAAAATATTTTCTCGAGAGAGCACTAGTTTATACTACCATAAAGATACAGCAACCATCCATTTTGAACTTAGGAATAGTTTATATCTTCAAAAAAAATTTCTTTTTATTTTTAAGGCAAAACGTAGAGTTCGCTTGTAGATGATTCGAAGACTATTGAAGAGTAAGAAGTAATGCATATCTGGATTGTAATTTCCAGTCAGACTTTTTATGCCTGAATCGTTTATACTTATCAAAGAAAATGCGGCTTACGATGCAGTTAGTGTTTGATGCACTAGTATTTGGACATTGTCGAAAATTTCGGAGCAGAATTCTTACTGTCAGAATTCCATTTTACCATCTCTCTGGTAGTGTATCAATATTATAATGATCTCTAGCAGCTTCTTCTGTGCTTAAGTAATTCAACTCAGTATAGCTATACAAAAGATCATTGATTATACTTTAATGAAAGTTTCAGATGAAATTACAGAAAAACGACTAATATAAGTACCGTTGAACCTTCGTCATGGATATTTGTGTAAATCCTTCTTTAGCAAATCATATAGCCCTATGACCTTTACTGACAGCATCAGTGAAAAGGAGCCCGATACAGCAGTGTTCATTGCTCATTTTTATATGAGAATCATTGCCAACAGATTCTGGTTTCAAATACTAAAAAAATGACTTTCTCAGAGAACTTTTATTCTTTACAGAGCAAGACAGAAATAATATTTTTGTTTTTTTGCAACAAGTTTACTAAGTATAGGACAGTAAGTTTCATAGCTGAATAATTAACTAGACATGTATGCGTAGGATCAGTAGAAGTTCAAATGATGTTGGTGTAAAGAAGTAGTCGAAAAAAAAACAAACTGACTACTAGAATTTGTGTGACTAAATGTTTTGACTAATGTTCTTGCTTACTTTGCTTAGTCTAAAACTGTTAAACCTGTATAATTGTCCTATTCATGTGCCTACTAGCTTCGTGATCACCTTAACTCAAAGATACTCACTTTACTTTGCAAAACCAGTATTACGTATGGCTACTTACGTATGAAGTGACCCTTGCAGATTATGCTTCACAACTTCTTCTTCGCAGCCTGCAAGTGCAAATGCCACCAGAACATTTGACAATCGAGTACGAAAGCGTTTATAGAAAAGTAAGAGATTTTTCTTGTCTGGTCCCTGAAAGTGATTTTCATCCATACTCATCATTCGGCGAGTAGTTTCCATTCGTTTTATTTCTATCATTGTTTCATCCGACGGAACAGCTCCCATCTCATTCCAGTAACTGTCTTTCTTGGTGTTTCTTATAAATGCTTCCCATGCTCTAATATATTCCAGTTTTTTAGTAAAATTTTCAAATAGTTCTTCGAGAGTTTGATGTGCTAGTAAAACATCTTTTTCGTTCCTATGACAAATAGCCAACAATGCCCAGGCTTCCGGATGCTGGTGTGTGGAATCGCAGTTAATAGCTATTCGATATTCTTCCACAGCTCTCCGATATGTTTGCTTATCTTGGTGGCTTTTTTCATCCAATTTACCATCCTCTTTTTGGAAAAATGTCATGCTTTTTCGAAAATAATGTAATACGTCTTGTACCCAGGCCATTTTCAAGTGCAGAGATGATGACTTAGTTTGCTGAAGACTTTCGGCCTCAAAATATCGTAGACGATCTTCAAGCATGATTATCGAAGTAATAAATGATTGTCCTAATTGCATAGCACGACGACGATCATACATGGCTGAGTCAAGATGGCCTAGCTTTTCGAACACTTTCGCTCGCTCGTATAAAATATCAGCACTATTGGGTGAATATTTATGTGCCTTATTGAAATTTTCTAGGGCTTCTTTATGTTTCATATCTGTTGTCTGAATCATTCCAATGCGAAACATAGTTCGTGCATGTTTCGGTTCGTATTCTAGAACTTGCTGAAATAGCAATTGGGCTTCGACTTTGTTCTTAAGTTGGTACTGACACAGACCCTGTCGAAATAAGCACTCTGCTTTTTCATCTTTATCCGTCGTATTATTAAATGCTTTCGTAAAGAATTCTAAAGCAGCCTTATTGTCACCTTGTTCACTCAAAAGTAAGGCTTTATAGTATTGGCATTGATAATTGTCTTTCTGAAGCTGCTGTGTGGTCTTTTCTCGAGGTATCTCTTTAAGCGTGAAGACATTGTCATTTTCAGCCTCGCCTCTTTCAGAGTTTTCGTGACTTGTTTTATTCTCAGCCTGAGATTTTTGTGCAACATCGTTCACATCCTCTTCTTCTTCGACTAGATCGACTCTTGTCTTTTTTAAGGCAATAATAACCTTTTCATAGCAGTACTCATAGTAGGAACTCTTTTCCTGTAATAAATCTTTGGCTCTTTCTATATCTTTTAGTGCCTTTTGTAATAGATGCTTCGACTCATAGACAAGACCACGACCAAGGTAACTTTTTGATAAAATAGCCTTCCATTCTTTAGGTGGCGTTGCTTGTCCAATAAGTTCTGAATAGTCACTTTCAGCTTTATCAAGTTCACCGAGTACATGATGTGTCCAGGCACGTTTATAATATATCTCGAACTTTAAAGCTTGTGCTTTCTGTTTGGACTCATCGTACAGACGGAGAGCTTCCGAAAAGTCGATAATAGCCTTTTGCATGTGAATGGGACCACCTATTTTGAGATGCACATTCCCACGAAGATAACGGGCTTGTACAGTAGGAGGATGGATTGCCGAAAACTTTTCAATAGCGTCTTCAAGAGATTCCGGTGTATCTTTTTTTGCCAAGTCACACGCTTCTCTTTGAAGATCTACCCATTTTGTTGATGACTGGAAAATATAAAAATCTCTCTTGAAATCGTTAACTCAAGCAGACCTTCTCAATTCAAGTTTCACCAGAAACAAAATTGAAACTTAAAACTGTAGCCTCTTTTTTTTGGAAAGAAACAAAAAAGTAAACAGGGTCCAAACCTAATGTTGAATTTTAGAAAATCTTTTGATTAATACATTTAAAATAACTGAGGGTAGATAAGCCATCAAATCAGACGAAACAATAGTAAAGGCATGTGAGAGTGATCCTGTTTGGACTAATAACGTCATTTCATCAAAAAGTCAGACATTTTGATTTGGGCTTTTAGCGACCTCAAAAAACTGATCTGAAATTCAGATAAAATAATAGTTATATTCGTATATTTATTAGCGAAGACAATTCCAAGCATTACCCAATTAGAATGTCCTTTCAACTTAGTTTTTACACTATTTTTTGTTCCGATATTCAATTTTTAGTAAAGAGGAAATTATGGGATAAAACTTGTTTAGCAGTTTATGTGCGTCTAACAAAAAAAAATGGTATATTTAAATTGAATTAACATTAACAAAAACTAATACAGTATTGTGAACGGAATTCTAGTCTCACATATCCAAGATTTTGGAGAAGTGCTTTCTTCTTCCACACGAGTTGCGGCATCTACTGCAGGAGATGCGGTACCAAGTCGTGGAAGATGTGAGGATTTGCTTTTGGAAATGCATCATTTCATTGAGAGGTGTGCGTTGTCTTCTCCATTTAAGGCCCGCCCCCCTCCCCTCAAAAAAAGTCAATTTTCGTCAAAAATTTCGAAATTGAGATAAATGCAGGGGAAGATAGCTCGTCATCTGCTCTTTCATAAACAATAAAAGTTTTTCCTCAGTACCTCATTTCTCTTAAAAATTTTTCAAGATTTCTCCCATCGTCTATTCGAAAAATAAGCGGTTTTTTGAAAAACCAAAAAATGTTTTTCGTTTTTTCTCGGTTTATGGTTTTTTTGATCTTTTGTCCAAGAT